CGTGATGTTGAGATAGTTTCTTTGCAGACGGTACGATGATTTAACGGCGTATAACAGTGTTCTTTGGCCAAGAGAGTCGGCCGGCGGCCATTTTGAGTGACCCGTGCGTTGTACCGCTCTCCAGAAGCGAATTCTTTTCATCTTTTCACTGTTTTACACTTCATTTATTTTTTTCCTGACAAATGCATCAATTGATTATCATTCATTGATTATCATAAATTTTGATCATAAATCTTCAAGTTTATAATAAAAATTCATTACAATTAAATTGTCTGCAACAAGTCTATTATAATCAATTCCACCACTGTTTGCAATGAATTATAATCTAGATATCTATTAAGAATCTATTGTAATGACAAATTTCTATTTAAATATCTATTAAAAATCTACCAAAATTGAAAAAAATATGTTGATCATAAATCTTCAAATTTATAATAAAAATTCATTATACTTAAATTGTCTGCAACAAATCTATTATAATCAATTCCATCACTGTTTGCAATTAATTATAATCTAGATATCTATTAAGAATCTATTATAACGAAAAATTTCTATTTAAATATCTATTAAAAATCTACCAGAATTGAATAATATATTATGCAATATAAAGACCTTGCAAGAATGTATAATTAAAATTGATTTACATTCTTGCACACGTTTGAACAGTTTCCAGCAGCAACGGCGAAGCAAATTTCGAAGCAAATTTTAAACGCGCGTTCAACAGAAAATCTCTCACCTTGTGAACTCCACAGTGGTGTACAAAGCGTGCAGAATTTATGAAAAAAAATTTGCACAACGTTATCTAAAAATCCGATAAGCTTGTCAAACGAAGATCCGAGACCACTTAGCAGTACTCGCATATAACTCCGCGCTCCAATCGGTTCCCGAGTCGTGGACTGCTCATTGAATCAGCGAATCGACAAACGCGTAAGCCTCTTTACAACCGTTAGCTCGTTCCAACAGCCGGCGATCGTAGGTTTCCGCAGCAACGTGGTCCAAAGTGTGTACAGAGTCCTTGGTCCAGTGAAAGAGAAAACAGTAAAACCGTAGGGAACGTGCCCGGTGAAATGGCAGCGGAAGGGTTGCGGAGTTAATAGTCAAATAGACTTTCTTCCAGCCGAAATTTGAATTTACGACCCGTAAATATTGCCGATTGTAATCAACCGGAACAGGACATTATCGGTGGCTCGTACACAACGTTCGCCTAGAGAATTCCAGCGGGATCTCGGCTGCGGACGTGGTCCTACGGTAGCCTCCGGCCTGGCCGTGTCCAAGTCAAAGGGTTGCAATCTACCTGTGATTTATTGCCGAGCGAATCGAATTTTTCTTACCGAGGAAAGCATTCGCACGGGCAGCGGGAGAGCGGTAGCTTCCGCAGACTGCGGGGCACCGATCAAATAGGTCAAAGAAATTTTCGACGGACTTTCTGCCGTTACCGACAGAACACACGTTTCCGATGCTTCTGCCAGGGGATTTTTAATGGAAACGTCGATCTACGAGGCGAACTTAGCTGCAGAAGAATTAACGATCGAACTGCGGATACTCGAGCACGGTAAAAATTGCCCGAATCGATTGCTGCATAGTGCAGGAAATTTGTAGACATCTGCTTTTATTCTGAATTATATCAGTGAGTTGACAATAATACAGTAATATTTCAAAGTTGCCTAAATGTTATTGCTATGTTATATTGCATTTGATCTACTTATTTCTTGCCACGAATGCGTCTAATTTGCAGTCTAGTGACGTCAGTTTTTACTAATGCAAATCTCAGAGAAGATATCTTCAGTTATGTCAAGGTTATATTAAAAATAAATAAATAAGACAAAAATTGCCCGAATCGATTGCTGCATAGTGCAGGAAATTCGTAGAAAATCTGCTTTTATTCTGAATAATATCAGCGAGTTGACAATAATACAGTGATATTTCAAAGTTGCCTAAATGTTATTGCTATGTTATATCGCATTTGATCTACTTATTTCTTGTCACGAATGCGTCTAATTTGCAGTCCAGTGACGTCAGTTTTTACTACTGCAAATCTCAGAGTAGATATCTTCAGATATGTCAAGGTTATATTAAAAATAAATAAATAAGACAAAAATTGCCCGAATCGATTGCTGCATAGTGCAGGAAATTCGTAGAAAATCTGCTTTTATTCTGAATAATATCAGCGAGTTGACAATAATACAGTGATATTTTAAAGTTGCCTAAATGTTATTGCTATGTTATATTGCATTTGATCTACTTATTTCTTGCCACGAATGCGTCTAATTTGCAGTCTAGTGACGTCAGTTTTACTAATGCAAATCTCGGAGTAGATATCTTCAGCTATGCGAGTGCATATCATAACATAAACATCCTAAGAATTAAGGACGAAGAATTGCTTTCCTGGAGGAATCGAACGGATTAACAAGTCGATAATGGAATAATTTGCCGATAGAAAAATTGGCGCCCTCGAACGGCAGCCGCGTCCTTCGGTTTCGCGAATCGAGAGGATCTCTCAATAAAGATCGCAGCTAGCACGAGAACGAAAGACTGGACGAGAGATAGCGGTACTGCTTGCGGAGGGTTATTGTGCGTCGATCGGTTACGGCTCATCAGCTGTTGTTACTTCTGTCTTCGGCCGAAGGAGGAGAATCGGGGGTCCCAGGATGCCAACAATCGTCCTGCACCGCCTTCGTCGTGTTTCCCACTTTTGACCAATGTCGGTGTTCGTACCTACTATTCTATTCTGATTGCTGGGAGTCTCGCAATTACAAGTAAACACCGCAAATTACCTGGCTCGTGCTGCTCGACAGCACAACGTTAGAACCGTCCTCCGTGGTCCCTGGTGGCTCGAAAAATTCTTTCAGATTTTTCTGACTTTCGAATACAACTGGCATTCTTCTTCTCCTCTCTTGTTCGGCGAGACTTTGACTCCTTGGCGGCCGGCAGGTATTCAGTGTTTCTGTTGGGATACGTTTCGTTTGGCATATGATAATTTGGGACGGGTAGCAAGCTGAATAGAGATTCTGGCTCATTAATAGACGATGAGAATCCAGAAGTTCGGTTCTAGCGAACTGTCAGAGCTTTTGCGATAATGGATTAGTCACGTGGGCCTGGAACAGTGTCCAAAAGCGAGACTTTTGCTTGCCGAGTGCAGTGTAAAATAATGTAAAATTGCCCTCTCGAGATTCTCTTTTGGTAATATAAGCGAAGAATTACGAAAATCGTAGGTCGATTATAATTTGGCCGAGAAGCGAAGCGTCTAAAAATTGTTTGCGATCGTGTAACAATGACGATTAGATCCAACAGACACGATTTTCTATACACACTTCTACAGAATAGTTTCCAACAGAAAAATTCACACACACTCTATGAACATGTTGCAAAATACTGTGAAAGTTTCAAGAAGAAAGGCTTCGTAGTTTTCTAGGAACAAATTCTGAAAGATCACCTTGCATCGAGCATATCTGAAATCCCTGAATTCTTGTTTATCAATCTGAACACTTTTAATCCTGAACGCTTACAATTCTTTGCACTTCTGCGAGCGAAACGAAGAGTACCATTACATTTAGATAGATGCACGGCGATGGATCGAGACTTTGTTTAAAATCCTCCACCACGGACACAATTTCCCGTATTGAAACGTCCAAATGTCACACGGAGAGGATCGACATGTTCGTTGCGCCAGAGAATCGATCGCGATGTATTTACCAACTATCGGTACCTATTCTTATGTAACTCCGGCTACAAGCCTGTCAAACGATACGCGTAAAGTTAGATACCCTGCCCTCGCGATCCCGCGAGAGAAGCACACGGTTTAATTCGGAACCATTAGCGCGCGGCGAATCGATTGCGATTTTTCTATCGGGCCGGGTTACGGCCCCGGTTTTTGAAAAATGAGACGCTCTCCGGCTCTCAAAAGTGGTCCTAAAACGCTTGAAAAAATGCCGACAATGCGAATCCATTAATCTTGGAGCAGAGCTCGCGGCTCCCGTCAGCTCTCTTTCTTCCTTTCTCTCTATCTTGCTCCCTGGACCAGCCTCTGGCTGCCTCCAGGACATCCCTTTGCACTTACCACCTGGAACAACAACGCTTTTCCAGTGCCTCGGGACGATTTACTCTCGCGTTGCGTTCCTCCACGTGACCGACGGCCATCTTGGCCGATCGGCACCTTGGAAATGGTACCCGAGCCCTCTGAACGATTCTGACTTCGTTTGAAAAAAAATCAACAGATCGTCCGATTGCAAATGAAAGTCAAAGATGCGCGAATGGCATGCTGCTGTCCTGAAGATAGGAGCCGTTTTCCATTTTGGACATTTCTTCTGGGTGTACAGTAGATTCCCGCGAATTGTCCCTCAGTTTGAAAACAAGTATGGACAATTTGGGGAGGAAAGATGTGATTATTCGAGCCTCACGGCTCGTTTTTATGATCGCCGATTGTCAAACAACTGTGAAAACCAGCCGCGAGGCTCGAATAATCGCATCTTTCCTTCCCAAATTGTCCACTTTTTATTTCAACCTAAGGGACAATTGGAGAGAATTTACTGTATAGTGGAAATTACAAGCAATTTTAATCTTATGCACTTAACAACAAGCGTTTAATATTATGCACTTAACAACAAAATTAAAGCGTCACTTTTTGGCCGAAGAATTGTCGATCTTCGAACAGCTGTAACTCCCTCAAAAGTTATCATACAATTATAAATTTTTGTTTAAATTATAGCTTGAAATCTCTACTTTACGATTTCGTGTTCTAATTTTTAATATCATCAATCCCTATGACAATAATATCCTAAATCTGTGGCAAGTTCGCGATACCGAGAAAGTGCAATGTTCAACGTCCTCTATGGACGTCGACAAATTATTTTCGAGCATTCTGTTCAGAACGTCGTAAAATTCAAACTTTCCGCTTTAATTTGATAGTCGAATTAAGTCGCTACGATTTTTTCTCGCTAAGTTACAGCACTTTAAACGATAAATGTCCCGCAGGCATTAGAATATCACAATGTACACCACGAGGAGGTTTTGTCTGAATGTGTCGAGTTTATTACATTATTAAAAATATAACGGAATTTAATAGCGTAAACATGATTTTGAAACACGATATAGCTCATTACCAATGATGCCGTACAGTTTCCACACGAGTGCAAAAGGTTAGAAAGTCCTGGAGTAGCTGACAATCTGTCTATGACCAAATCTATTAAATTCATAGCAGTCTTCAGCAAGTTTTCCTCGCTAGAGAATAAACTCGAAATAAACTGTACGCTACACTGATCACTCCACAAGTCTTAAGGAACATTTATAAATTTTCCTTTCTCTTTTATTTTTCAAAATGAAGCGAAAAGGTTCGAAGTTCACAGTGAAAGGTTCGAACCGTCACCTAATACGAGAAATCCAGTCAGCTGTCGAACTGCATGAAGATTCTATAGAACATTCAATTTTCACCGGAAGCCTTCGTAGACTATGAATCTCTGATGGACTATGCTCTGTGTTCTAAGATCGATCGCGAACAGAGATCAAAATATTTCGGAGCAGCGACGGGATTCCGGGGATCGATCACGAACGAGAATCAAAATATTTTGTCGCTGACACGGGCTCGCGTCTTCGGGGACCGATCGATCTGCAATTTCGAGAATATTCGAAATATTTACAAACTCGTGAAACGCGGTATTCGTCGGCAGAATTCGATACGGTTCACGGTGGAATTTCGTTCCTCGGTGTTTCCTGATGCAGCGTACGGTGTCCCCGGCTATTTTCGCATGTATTCTGCGTCGAGGTGTTGGCAGCGGATCCGTTCGGGGCGGAAAGCATGAGTCTCCGGAGATTCTATTTCGCTGCTGAGTCACGATCCCGTGTTTGTCGACGTGAAAAGGGGGACCGCGTCCTCCCGGGGACATCCCAGCGCACCACGGGATCCCGAGGTATCGAGGTCGACCTTCGAAAGGCTCGCTGTCACCCTTTGATCCTTCCACCGTTGTCCGTCAGACGTTCGGGATCGGAGACGAGCGGATGGGATACTGACACCGGCACGATCTGGTCCAAGGATTTCTTAAAATCCTGCTCAAGCTTCACACAATCAATCCTTATATTTCCCATAATCCGTGGCCGCATCGTTATCTTCGCAATTGTAATGATTAGAACTCCTTCGATTGTAGTCATTTCCTAGAAAAGAAAGATTTATAGTCGCTGACGAATATACAGGGGCGTGGGAAAGTTCCCGGCGAGATAGTTTTAGCAATTTTTCTTTCCGAAAGAAAAGCCTTGAGAAATTTTTATCAATATCATGTACAAGGATATATTAGAAGAGAGCATGCTAGAGAAAAAAAATGAACGCTATTTGTTGTTCATTCGTGATTATTCGAAGAACAAGTGTTCTAAAATTCCCGGTCAGTGTGTTTTACAGTATAATAATGCTCGTTTTTCTTTGTGCAACGATTTTGCGGTACATTATTTCACATATTATGTCTCGAGTCTGATTCGTTATAGTGCACGGTGTTAATTAATTCATTAGAAACACTTTGCGATCTACAGATTGTTCGACGTCAAAATGACACTCGAAGCTTCGTTATAAATTTGTGTTGCAGTTGCTGATCACATGGAAGAATTGTTAACTTCGTTGACTCTTAATTTCGTTTAGAAATTCCTCGCTGTTAAATTCGAATCCTTCTATGTCCTCCAAAAAACTATTTATATTACTAACGACTTTAAACCGCTACTCTACTCGAAGATTTCGAGTAAAACACTCGAAAGATACAAATTGGACGCCACAAAAAGCCGACAGCGCGAGTGCCACGCTGACTGATCGGTGTCATCTTTGACAGCGGAACAGTGACGAAGCAGAGGTTGGAATCGCCTCGTTGATAGACCAGAACGCCGAAGAGCGTCAGACTTTTTGGCGCGGCGACGAAAACACGTGTTTCCGTTGGTAGAAGAAGCTGACAACAGTACCGAATAGCGAACGTCCGCGAGCACTCTGATCCTCGAGTGAAAGTCCCAGCTGTTAGGCCAACAGTAGTTCCAGCATCGCTCGGAGAAAAACGAAAGAAAAGCGGGACCGGGTAGTGCGGTAATTATCGGTCCGCGCGGATGGTAACGACGTTAACGCGACCCGTGACCCCGGGGCCCACCGGCAATTACCACCTGACACCGGCGCTCGAAAGCAATTTGCGTGAACCGGACTGTTCCGACGACGCTCGAAGAAGAAGGCCCGGTTCGACACGACAAAAATCGCCGTTTATAGCGGACTGCTGCACCGACGGCTGCGAATAATAGAGGAGTGAGTCGTAAAACTGATTCATCGGCTCTCGCGACTGCCTTTGGCCGTGGTTAGCCGTCATCTTCGGGATTAGCGCGACATCCTTTCGGTGCTTCTTCTATTTTCGAGGATCGCTACGCTTCGGATCTTCCGCGGTCGTTCGAGTTTGACGCGTTCCTGAGTTCCAGAGGGCCAGAAAATTGAGGCTGGAATTAGCTGTTGCAAGAATAAAGCCTCGATTTTAACGCAAGAACCACCAAACCTTAAACATAACTAATATATATTGATTTACAACAACGACAAGATCGGATTTATTTGAACTTCCGACGAGTTTTATTATAATATACGTTCGAACGATGAAGCTCGTATAAAAATTTCCGACAAAAACATTTTCATAGTGAACATATATATAGTAGAAATCGTAAAAGAAAAGTCAGGAGCCAGTCATTTTGACTGCTTTGATAATTCCAGCGTTGAGACAGTATTTATGTTTCCAGTTGAAGATGACTTCATGTGTGTGCGATTATTTATACAGCACTGCCAGGAAGCAACAATTCTAATTGCGTTGACGTAAAATTAAGGAGATATTAAATGATCCTCGATCAATCGGAGAAACCCAGAAGTTCAAGAAGGAAAGTGAAGAATAATTACAATAAATTCTTCGAATCACCTTAATCAATGAGAATCTTAAGAGAGAACTAATCTGTACGGCAGAAAAATTGCGAAAACATCATGTTGCATATCGCAAGCTGCCAAATGAAGTGAACTGAAAGTTGGGATCACAGAATAGAGACTATAATAAATTATTCAAAGTTGTTTTAGCGAGGCTACTCATTCTATGAGCATAGAATCGAGAAGACGTCGGATGATTCTTGATACTTTTGAGGAAAAGAATGTACGGTGTTGCAGAGAATCAGCTTCGTAGTGGCTGAAATCGGAGGTTAGAGAAGGAAAGCGAAGGATAATTGCGATAGATTCTTCCGAGTCAATTGAATTGACCTTGGTCGATGAGAATTTCGAGGTAACCTCGACAGCAGAAAATTTCTGAAAACATCATCTTGCATATCGCAAGCTTCCAACAGAACTAAACCGGATGTTAGAAAATAACAGAATGAAGCTGATAATAAATTGTTCTCACTTGCCGAAGCAGATATATTCCGCAGCCGCTCTCTTTTCGGAGAATGACATCCGAAACGTGCCTAAACGAAATGAATCTTTCCAGACCGAAGTCTGCTGCAAAGTCCATTAATTAGGACACAGGAGGAGACCACAGCGAGATCGCAGGTTTCGGATAGTCAGGGCTGTCGTCCGTGTCGAATCGCGAGCAGGGGAGAATCGTCGGGCAAGGGTGAAGCGTGTAAACGTCCCTTGGTCGTTGATTATCGTCCGAAGTAGAAGAAAGAAGGAGGTAACTGGGTGAAGGTCGGCCAGCATCCGTGACCCCGACAATTACCATTCGACGCCCTTCGCCCTCGTCTTTCCGAAGACAGTTTGCATACACCGAAAACGCTGCCGCATTGTTCGGCAAAGGGCCCCGGACGCGGAACGCCGACCCAGAAACGTTCCCGGGGCTAATTGCTTTCGAACGACTCGACGTGATTTCCTTCTGCGGGCTGCCAAGGTCCTTCGACATTCTTCGACAGCGATACATGGCCGGAAGACACAGTGGTATCGAAGGATCATTGCTCAGACTCGACTTCGACCGAGAACAAACATGTTAAATTTGATAGGATTTTAATCAATATTTTTCTTCGTATGGTACGCCTACGCTTTGCTCTCTTTTTTTTTGTTAGGTAGAAGGAGGCATTTTATTTGAGACGATTAATTGAAAGCTGTTGCAGGAGGATAACTTCTAGAGATTATTCTGATATTTGTTTATTCTTGGAGAAGTTTTTAGAGTAATCTGATAGATAAGGTTTCTGGGACTATAAAGGCAGGGTTTAAAAAATTATGTTGAACATAAGAAGACAAATTGGAGGGAATAATATAGGGTAAGTGTGGATATTACTGCGGACGCACCAAATAGTGCGGTATTTTATAAAAGTAATAATAAGATCAAATATTTTGTAGTGTGTAATCTGCTAAAAATGAATCTCATAATTTTTTATATGTTTGATATTGATAATTTATGAAGTGCAAGTAACAGCAACTGCAGTTTTAATTCATTTATTGACTTTTGATATTCTCGTAATGATACCTGTGAACGTCGATTCGAAAGGCATTTATATTTTGGTAACTAATAATAAACTGTTTATTTTAACATTATTTTTAGATAAAGTAATCGTTACTTTGATAAAAAAAATTGACACAAACTGTCACTATCATCTATCCTTAAATATTATTCACTAATACAATATTTGGCGCATAGTTATTTTACTATGCATGCACATTATTGCGATGCTATATCGAACTGCGTACCTTAACCTAACAGTGCAGTTCTGGATGAGCCAGTGCGATCATGCTTGATCTTAGAATACCTATATATATATTCTCACTGTAGTATTTTACAAATTAGGTATATATATACTGTCTCTTATACACATCTAGATGTGTATAAGAGACAGTATATATATACCTAATTTGTAAAATACTACAGTGAGAATATCTTGATCCTAGGAATTGTAGCTATGTGTGTGTACATTTAAATGAAAATGGGTCATAGGTCAACCTTGACACGCAGTAATCGGAACGTCCGCAGTATGTATTTGGTTCGCAGTAATAGATACATAACTGCGGTAATATATGCGCACGTATGGTTTTTTTGCATTACGCTTTTTAACGAACTTCGTGCTTTCAGAGATCCAATATTTTGTAAAAAGTAAATATTCAAGTTAAAGAACAATAGGTATGGCTCAAGTTGTCAATTTATTGGCATATAAAATGTCTTCTTTTCTCTGACAAATTTCGCCTTCATTGAGAAACCGCAGTTTCTACACTTATTCTAGCATACTTTTCGGGGAAAATAAAATAGAGAATAACATTTTTTGATCAACAGAAAGATCGTGGTAAAGATAAGGGTAAAAATGTCTACCATGGAAGTCCGCTTATGGGAAATAATGATACGGTTATGCCGCAGTCTATAGAGACCAAGGAAAGGAGGTAAAGAGGTTACGGCTGCCTCGCCTGGACGTGTCAAGTACCCGGTAATATTTCAGCCTCCATACAGCAGCTCGACTTTAATTATCCGAACTGGAGACAGTGCATCTGAAGATGCAAGACAGACCGCCATAAGTCGTATGCACTCCACTTCGCGATATTGCTGCTTAATCTTTTACACATCAACGTCCGTTCGCCATTTTCAATGCTCTACATTTCCATCTAACCAAAAGGAAAAATACTCTTTACTGGTGTCCCCTTCATGAAATCGGACAACGAAATTTCTAGTTGCGAAGATCGCGAATTTCATTCGCAGATGAAAATGTGAAGAATTCGACGATCGAGAATCCACTTCGCTGGCGCCAAGTTAAACACACACAGATTTCAGTCTCTCTCTCTAACTTCGCCTACAAGGATCAGAACTTTCCATTCGTGTCGATGATTCTTTTTTTTTTTATCCAGCAAGATTGTCGGTAGAGCGTGGTGCCAGGACGAAAGTTCGGTCGCGACGGACCGCGTGTGCCCCAGAAACGATTTATCAACCGAGAACTCGAAAACGGGGCTGCGATCGATAACGATCGTCCGCCGGCAATTAAAAAGCTCGCAAAAACGAAGATCGGCTGGAACCGCGATACCCGAAACGACTCGTGTCACCATCAACAAGTAAAACGTAGCCGGGGAACGCCGGTAATAAAGCGATGAAAGTGATAAATCGCGACGGTCCCGATCCTACCGGGGCCAACAACTGCGGCCGTATTGCGTTATTAAAACTTTACTAATGGTCGATAATAAGCAGCCGCTCGGCCGAGATTGATATTAAATCGTGAACTACTGAGTGCCCATTTATCATTATCACGACGGAAGCTCGGTGTGTTCCGCGCCGCGACTCTTTCGCGCCGGCGAATTCCAGGCAAACGGGTTTCCACGGGAAAGCGTTCCGACAGTCGAGGATGATCCCTCGACCGTGCAAAAACCGACTGCGATTATTACGCCGCCGGGTTTTCGTCTGTCTGCCTCGGCCGATTCGCCTCGCTGTCTTGCCCTGATGACGCCGCGACGCGTTTCCCGCGAGCATCTCGCGGACCCTGATGAAGACTTAATCTACCTTCGGTTTTTTCACAGTTTTTCCAAACCCGGGGAAACCCGCGGAAAAATTATCCACGGTTCGTTTTCGATTTTCTTGGCTGTCGGAAACCGAAGCCGACGCTCCTTCGTTTGCGGTTTCCGTCGAAAATTGTTGAAGAGTTCGCGAGGAGACGGAGAGAAGACAATAGTAAATAATACATCGTATTTTGTAGAAGTGTTCCTTTAATTAAAATAGTTCTTATTAGAAGAGCTAAATAAGAGTGTGTTCGTAAATACAAAATACAGTGAATTCTCTTTAATTGTTCCTCAGCTTCTAAACAAAAATAAACAATTCGGGAAGTGAAGGTGTATTTATTCGAGCCACGCGGCTCGGTTTTATAGTTCTTGACAATCGGCGACAATGTGAACGAGCTGCGAGACTCGAACAATCGCATCTCCTCTTCCCAAATTATTATTAATTATCCATTTCGTTTGCGAGCTGAGGGACAATTCGAGAGAATTTACTGTCCATATTCATGAAATTTCAATTTCTTTCATGCGACTGAAACAATTTCGATTTTGCATGACAATCCGCCTATCAAGAATTCCCTTCATCCCTCTTACATTCGAAAAAGCGCAATCAACCCCCGAGAAGGGAACCATTACGCGAAACAGCGAGCCCTAGAATCCGAGGCGTCGATGGATTGTAGGTTTCCAATCTTCCAGGAAGAAGGACCCTGTGCAGATATTCGTTTCCACAAAGCGTCCACCCTCGCTCGAGTTCCACCCTCGGCACTGTTCCTCCGTGGTCCTCGAAGGGCCAGCTGTGCACGTGGCGGTCCTAGGCGGGCTCTCACGGGCTATCTCGCGATAATCGTCATCTGCGCGATCGGATCGGGATCGGTTCGGCGGCGGGCAGAGGGGATGAAAAAAAGGAGTGCGATGGAGGGGCGGGGGCGAGGGAGAATCGTCGTTGACGAGCTCCGGTCTCTCGGCTGCAGGGGTGGCGGCAGGGATGGGTGTAAAAGGAGGGTGTCATGCCGGCTCGCCGGGAAAAGTGATTGATCGTGTTTCGCCGGAAGAGAAGAGGAGCGGCGAAGACTCGGGCAGAAACAGGGGACGCGGCGGCGGCGGGGGTGGCCTGGCTCGGGAAAGACGGAGAAAGAACCGGTAGCTGGAAGACGCTCGGGGGTGTGAGAAGAGTGGAAGAAAGATGGAGGACAGCCGGGGAGAGGAACGTTGATAGAGACGGAGAGGTCGAGCCGCAAAACGAGGAGACAGGGCACCCTCCCACACCCTCTTGCTTGCGAGCTCCGCGTCGCCTACGTCATCCGCAAGCCCCTTCAACCCCCTGCGACCCCCTCGCAGATTCCACTCGACTGTACGCGGGTCCCATTCTCCCGGGAGCCGGCATGAAGTGGCCCGAAGAAAAATAGAAATAAGCCGCGCGGCCCCTCGCCGTCCTCTGCCTAACGAAAAACCCGCTCCGGGGAGGAAAACCGGGAGGGAAACGGCGACATCGCGCGCGGAAAAACCAGGTGACGCGCTCTCAGCCACCCCCGAATCGACGCCCCCTTGCTGTCCGTGCTGCCACCCTTACACCGCGCTGACAATATTGCCTCCTCGAGCACTTTCGGCGCTTCTTGCGACCCTATACTCTGCTGGCTCTTGGAGGAAGGTCTGCGTGGTCTACGATCAGCATCAGAACCTTTGATAGAACTAATTCATGGCCTCTGCGTTTCGAATGCATGAAGATTGCAATCTATTATTGGTAACATGTCGTGCGATTGCTATATTCTGGAGACCAATAGTTTTGTGTTTGTTGATTGATCTATACTAGGCTCGCACAATTTGGAAGTTGCGTTAGGCACTGTACAGGGTGTCCCAAAATGATTTTAAATGCTCGAAAGTCATTGCTGTAAATGCTGAAGTCACTTGAAGTAACCTTTTTCTTAGTGCAAGTGCTATCCGCTGCTTTGTTCACGAGTTATTAACGTACAACGAGAATTAATGTAATATTCCAAAGTAGCAGAATATTTGCTTTGCTTCTTTGAGATAGACAGTATTGGGGATTAACCCTTTGTACTCGAGTGACGTCATTGAAGATTGCTGCACCATGATTCAAAATAATTTAGACAGGATTATAATAGTTTATATCTAAAAAGCCGTTAGAAGAGCAAGTATTGTACGTGGCAGTTTTATTTCATACTTGTAAGTCGCCTTAAAACATGTAAAATTGAAACAAGTACTGTAGATTAAAAATCATGTCTTGGATTTCGAATTAAACTAGTTTCTGGTACAAAGGATAATATTCTGAACATAAATTATACGCTATAAGAGTGAAAATTGTAGCTTGAATTTGTTGATACTGCTAATATTTTTCATCCGATTGTTTTACGCACGGTAAAACGAACGAGGTTTTACTTTCACGCCTCGCGTACTTGTACTTATAATAACACGGAACGTTTTTGCATTATCAATGTTACTCCTGGACTGGGTGAAATATATTTAAACAAAGAACGACGGGCGAATCAGATGTCGCCGATATAATGATTCTTGTAACTAGACCAGACGTCTGCGGGCTTGTTGCAACATGGCTAATGACAGTGCCACGAGGCTCTTAAACAACGAAATACTTGCATGCTTTCACTATCTGCATCCTGCAAGAACTGAAATTTACTCGCTAGCACCGCGGAGAGCACAGTCGTTGCACCGTCGAGGACACCGCAATTGCACCATCCTCCAGCACCGCCATTTTCCAATCACGAGGCGTCCTCAGCAGCATTCCGCTCGTAATGCAAGCGTGTGCACCGTGCAACGGTAGCAGCGTGACGAGGATGAGTAAAAGTAAAGTACGGATCGTTTCTCGCGAAGCGGTCTGCCGAGGCTCGAACCTCGGGCCTCTCGGCGCGGCGTATTGTCGTGCGCCGCGGCAAAACAGAGTGAGTATGCTCTTTGTATAATGACTCGGCGCTTTATATGCTCCGCTCGGAGCCGCGCAGCTGATCGCAAGTAGACGTACTTGACCGAGTGCAGACCGAGACACTTGTGGAGCACTAATATATAAACACGCCGCGAAAGAACGCGCCGCGGCCATTACTTTCAATTTGGACCGCATCGTTCGACCTTACGTAACGCTGAAGAGCCTAACTGGCGTCGGATATCCCTGCCGCGGCGCATACCGGCGCGCTGATAGAAAGTCGACGTTCTAATCAGGCCTGATGGCTGGCTTTCAGCTGGCCACGAATTGCCACATCAGTCCTGTTGTTCGCTCGAATCGAAATTTAATTTCAACTGGATTCGTTTGGGGATGATTTTGGGGTGCAAGTGGAGAACATTTAAGTAGTACTGGTTTGCTTGATTCTATTAATCTAGAGAGAGAGAGAGAGAGAGAGAGAGAGAGAGAGAGAGAGAGAGAGAGAGAGAGAGAGAGAGTACTTCATAGTTGACGAAAATATACAGCTATTAGTTAAGACTGGCTCAATTAGGGGTGGAAGTTAGGGACATTTAAGTAGCACTGGTTTTAGTTTGAGAAATGATCGTTGTTGGAAACTCTAACTATTTATTGAAGGGAACTCTAGCTATTATATTGAAAGGATAAAAAGGTTGGAGAGTGGATTGTACGATGATAGACTGTGTTTTAATCAAACTAAATATATTCTACGAATTAGATAGATACAGAGGGAAAAAATGTACAATATAGAGTGATAAACCGACACGGAAACTGATGAAATGTCGCGAAACGCGCGAGTGATATGATCAAGCGATCTATCACAGCTATAGAGCTGTAGCGAGAGTTGCAAGGGCAAGAGTATAAAGCGACACTGGACTGCAAGCGCAGAATTACGAGCGTAACCAATAATAAGCTGCAAACGCAGAGATAGATATAAGCGTAACAAGAGAAGATAACTAGACGTAACAGCACCGTGATGGCCTTTTAACAGTAAATTCTCCCTAA